AATGTCACGAGTACCTTATTTACTTAGTAGCACTAACCGAGGTTCCTCTCAAAAATTAAGCTAGAAAAATTGGGTTCGTGTCAGACTGTGAATGCATCCAGTGAAGTTCAAAGAAATCCATTTTATAAACTGGATTGAGTAAAAATGTGATACAGTATACCTATATGTAGAGTAATATGTACAGTAGTTCAGGCTCAGATCATGGAGGCAAATGAAAATGTGAAAAATACAGCACAATTCCATTCAAATGATTCTGGCCTTAATTTCGAATTGTATCTTCTTTCACCTGAAATAATCGGATTTCCGTGGCTTGGGCGTCTTCCCCGGGATGGATTTTAAAAAATCAGAAATCTTATCTAAAAAATTGAAGTTGCGCGTCTTACATGAGGCTGTATAAAAACAGTACTCTAGATTAAAATACGTTACTTGTGCAATGCGACGAGTAAATTTGAGTCAAGATTCCGATCCACGCTTGCTTCCCTTCAGTACGAATTTTAGTCGTGTGTCGCTTATCGAGTTTGACCCGAGTTCCGAGCCATGTTGAGAGTGAATCTGTGACCAGGCTTATTGTTACAGTATTTGAAGAAGAAAAAAGAAAAGAGAAAACACTTTTACTGACGACATCGGTACGGGTGTGTTTCCCACGGGGGTCAAAGCTCGTCTGCGAACAGACGGAGTGACGTCGTAATAGCGCGACTCGGAACGACGCCAGGAAATGCGACAACGACGCTGACGACTGCTACTCGGGGGTCCCGGGGAATCGTCAGTACATGCGACGTTGGGGAAGCTCTGAGAGGCCATTTTTCAAAAAAACCTCATTAAAGTTCTTGTTTAAAAATATACGGGGTGAACCTCCGGGGATTACCGTGGATTCATCGTCTCGCAGCGAGGCGAAACACGGTTTCATCTCTTGCTAGTTGGGCTTCATGTTTTTCGCCGTGCTAATTCCAAAAAGAAAAGGATCGAAGAGGTTCGCTCTTTTGCACTGCATAGAAGTCTTTTTTTTTTCTTTCGGCTTTACGTCATTCTACTTCTGTAGATATGTAAGCACTCGTATGCACAGGAAATCAAGGAAACCTGTGTTGAAATTTCACGCCATTGTAACTTTTGAATCCTGTCCAAATTCGCTATATTTAATCGAATCGTCCGTGTCAATGTCACGTGAGGAAATTTGAAACCGAACGGGGGATTGCGACATCCATATTTTGCAATACTGTACTGTACCTTGAAAAAATACTATTGCTCGCATTTTTAAACTTTTTATGCCTACAGCTAGTTGCATGTTTTCTCGAAGTTTTTTTTTTGCGTTTTCGTCCTTTTTCGACATGGGGATTTCATTTTTTATTTTGCGAAGAAAAAAAAATCTTGCTTTGGAATTTTTAGCGGATGACGCTGCATTCGAGATTTATTTCGTTTCGCATGTGGAAGGGAAAATATGATGTTTGGTTGCCTTGTGTTCTTGAGGACCTTGGCGAAAGAGGGCGCTTGTGCCAGTCATGGACGCCGTGTTCGAGTTGCTTGTCATGTCCGTGATTCGCGCGAGGGTCGATGGCCAAGGAGAAAGAAGGTCCTTCGCCTGACGCGTGATTGACTTTTCGGCGTCGTCCGTCCGTTTAAAAATGCGGAGCAAAAAAATAAATTGAGGATAACCTGCAGATGTCACCAAGCTTTCAAATCTTACTCTATTCGTTTTTTTAATGTCCGCGGCGATCGTAGATGTCACTTGTACGCAAACGTCAGGCAGATTATCAACTTGGGGGGAAAAATGAGCTATGTTTGAAATTTGTATTCGGGTTATGGTTGACTCGGATGACAGCGTATGAAATGATTCTTCAGTTCATTGGCGTGCCTTGGCTTTTTTAGACGCAAAATTTTCTGGAATGAGCTGCACTTCGGCAAATAGAAAACGATTTAATTTCAAAAACGACGAAGAACAAGTGCGTTGTTGATTGACGTTTTACACATTTCTGGAGGCCAAATGATGATGCGGAATTTAAACAGACGTTTGCAGATCACTTCGTTTGTGGAATTTTCACGAAAATTCTTTGAAGAGTAAATTCCATCGAAATGTAAAAATTGCTTCAAGTTTTGCGTCGTATGGAAAAAAGAAGTGGAATTGTGGTCAGACCTTGAAACGATCGCGCACGTATTGAATTTTCTTCGTGTCATCTTCTGGTCGACGAATACGATTCCGATAAGCAAGTGACTAAAACACTTACTATATGTTCACACGAACCACCGAATCGTCCCAATTCTTACTGCCTGGTACCAGCGTTTTGGGCGACCTTCCAAAATTTGTTTTCCTTTGTGTATTTCTCATGCGGTCACAGTCGTGCTTGGTGACTCCCCAAGCCAACCCGCCAGAATGCCCAGAAACTCGGAATTCTTCATTTTCTTCATTTGGGCGTCGTCCTCCTTTGCCTTGATGCCAACTACGTGAATTATATCTTTTCAAGAACGCTCAAAAAATATAATTTACTCACTCACGTGATAGCCACGAAGAAACCTCGGTTTTCGAGAATCACTCCCGTCTTCAATCGAATTTGATACGCACTTCCCACTAAAAATTGGCTATAAAAAAAATTATGCGCGGCTCGAGTCCAATGGCCTCTCAGATTCGCGGGTTGAGTGCGCTATTAATCTGACTATCCTGATCATTGAAAAAATGATAAAATAAAAACGTTGAAAAATTCCTCAATGTCATTCTAAGTTCTGGAGAGGCAAGAATCCTGATGCATGTAAAATTGTCTAGTAAATGAAGATACAGTAGTGCAGGTATTTGAAACATGAGGGGAATCAGCAGACTCCACTTATCCTTGATTGAAGATTTTAATTTTAATTTCATTGTGTTTGACGTTCGAAAGACAAATCACCGTCCTCATTCGAGGCACGAAAAGTAAACTTTCGCTTTATAATCGATGTGGTCTTATGTTCGAGTAAATGCGGCACTCTTGTTTCTGGAATCTGGATGATACATATTCTTCGGTGCTCTGTAAAGAAATGGTAGACCCTCGAATCATATCTGTCAACGTGGAAGTGTGATTCTCGCTTGTTCAGACGATAAGGTAATGAAGGAGGAAAAAAACGTACCATCAGTGACAGAACAAGCTGAGCTTTCTGTGGAGTTTCCTCTCTTTGATTGTTTATTTACAAGATTAGCGAAGTACACAAGGAGGGATTCTGAATATGGGAGACAAACGGATGAACTCCGAGCATATTTGTTTGAGCGGAATTTCTTGGTATTCAAAAACGATGCCGTTTATCGCTGTTTTCGCAGAGTTGAATATGAAAGTTTGAATTTTTTTTTTCAAAAGCAATAACACTTGAAACTTTTGCCGAGAAATTTCAAATACTGTACTGTAACGAAATCGGAAATGTGAGGTTGTTCCATTTTGATGAGACATCTGAAATTTTGAATAATTCAGTATTTTTATAATTTTACAGTTTGGAAGTGTGAACTCGTCGCATCTTCCTTAATTTCTGTGCGATGTTTCGGCAAGTTGAAGTGTGCGAAGATTTTCTCGCCCAGTAACACTCCATTATCTCTATACTGAACAGGTTGATTCGCCTGAAGCAGTACAGTAGTAGTAATTTGTAAGAAAAAATTTGATGACGTGTTCACTTCTTCCCCACACAACTTGAAAGAAGACGGGATTTGTTGCGTGCGATATTCTGCCCGCAAATTTCCGTGCAGCGGAAGAAGGCTCACCAGTCTCTTATTCAAGTTCCAGTAAAAGAGAACTAGGACCGACGGGGTTTTCGGGTACAGCTGCACTTCAGAAATAAGGAGCGTGAAGGACAAAGGCAGTGCTTTGATACTTTTCGACCTTTTTTAGGGGCGGTATTTTGAGTCTCGTAAGGTAGACCATGCGAGATGATACCCTTGATACTGTTTCTTTGGAAAACTCCAATTCTAGGACGCCACACTCTAATCCAGACATTAATAGGCTTATATTTTTTAAAGCAAATACAAGACTTGAATAAATTTATCTATTTTTTCTAGTTTTAAAGATCTTAGGTTGATGCGTTGGGTGCCCTTGCCCGAGTAATCAAATATCACGAACAGTCGGATACACTTTGAGAAGAAGGTTAGAAGATGACGCATGATGAAAATTTCTTTGATGGTCTGGCTGTAGTAATACTGGAGTGTTCAGAATACCAATAAAGTACAGTAAAGTACTGTATTACCTCATGCTCAACTCATGAATCGGAATTTGGACACTATTCGTGGAAATACTAATTAATTTGCTTTTTAGTAATTTGATTTATTTTACTGGATCTCGAAAAGTTCGTAGCAACGTTTTTATTGGTTCAATATCATTTTACGACGATTTTATGTGCAGCCTTGTTTGCTCGATTAAAACGCAGCGCAAACCAGTTAAGTTGACGCAAACGTCGTAGAATACGATACTATAAAAAACGCAGTAGTAAAAGCGGACACAAAAGGCAACAACTCTCCATCTCTTTACCTTTTTAATACCGTTATTTCAACAACTGCAACAAAATACTTCGGCATAAGTACGAGAATTATTGAATTGAGGAAAGCGCTTCTGCGAAGAACGATGTTCCTATCCTTCGGTTTTCAGATGAGGCGGTGTGGGAAGCGTTTTTACATCGATTGCATTTACGATTTACATATTCTGGCGGGAATCGGAGCAGTGTAGAGCCGAGTTTTGGTTGTCCTCATGTGCTCTACAAGGACTTTCCAACGTGTCTCTGGCGTGGCTATGAAAAAATAAAAATAAACACAACATGCGAATGGGTTTGTTTTGCGTTCCAGGCTTCGAGTCACTGCGCGTCTCTGCTCATGAAGTTTTTCTATAAGATGGCAAAGCAAATTTTGTGTCGACATATTGTCTCCACATTTGAGGCATGCTTGAGAGTCCGTGATGATCTCACGTACCGCTATCGTATTAGTGCTCAAGTACCATTGGTGGTACATGTGTCACCGAGGGAGTACCGTATTTTTTTCGAGTACCACGCGCACCGATTTTCTCAGAATGGAGAAGAAAAATGTGGTGCGTGTCGTAGACGGTTATACATTTTTCAAAAAAGTTTACAAGTTTCGGTTTGCAATATACTTGATTTTAATGAGAAATTTTGGACCTACTGTAAACTATTGGGAAACGTTTTAAAGGGAAGTACAATATTTTGTAGTGGAAATGATTGAAAATTCGTCAAGTTCAGGATCAATTCCTGTGTAAATTCATTTCGGGGTGGTTTAACTTTTTGAAATATCTCGCTTTTAGTGAAAATATGGTGCTCGTATTACTCGGGGATACAAATTCATGCCAAATTTTGACAGAAAAACCCTGGTGCTCGTCTTACTCGAGTGAATACGAATTGGTGGAAATCTCATGATATTTAAGGCAATTTTTCGGGAAGAAATGTGTCCTCTTGCGGTATGAACTGGATTTTAATTTTTTTTTGGCACGTTGCGAGAAATAGAGATGGAAATTGATCGGATATTCTTTTTGTCTTCCAGCCTCATCGCGTGGGAAGAAGCGTTCGAGAACAGAGAGCAACTCGTCTGACCAGCGGAGGCACAAGAGTCGGTTGTCGAGCAAAAGTCAGCCAGGGTCGTCCCGTGAAGCGTCACCGTACGACCTGTCGAGGCAGGGGTCGCGAAAGGACCGCGGCTCGACGTCGTCGACGACGACGACGGCGGCAGCGTCGACGGCCCACCGACGAGCGCGGGCGGACCAAAGCTACGACATCGACAGCATCGTGATACCTTCCTACTCCATGTGCTCCCTGAAGCCGACGAAAGTTGAATACAAGGAGATACCGACTCCGCGTTGGCGTCCCATCACACCAGCTAGTCAGGCCTACCAGGTTGGTGTTTGATGGTCATCTCACTCACGCGGGTTTCGAGTGTGCAGTAGCAGTAGCTCATTTTATTTTTTTATCGAACACTTGAGTGTTTTTAAACTTGACATCGAGTTCAATAACGAATATGACGATATTCAGTCTTTCAACAGCTTGCGACGCGATTCTCACGCACTTTAAGCAGACTTCCGCGAAAGTGGGATTGAGAGTAACCTCTTGTAAAAGTATGAACTGTACTCACTTGTCACCCTGATTTTCTTGGCAATCAAACTAGAACTTGACCTGCTCTTCTTCTGGGATACTGTTTCTTTCGAAAGAAAGTGCTGTTTTATTTCAACTATTACGATGCATTTGATATTAAAATCTGCTCTTCAAGTTTATTAAGCGTCGTTGAAGAAATTACAAGGAGATGGATTTTCAAAAGTTGATGACGTTATACAATTCGCGTTTTAAAATTCATGTGCGAAGTACGCGATGGTTTCATGAATCTGCTATCGTGAAAGAATGTAAAATAAACCTGATATTCTCGGACAAGTTTTCATTTGAAAGTGTGCCAAGTTTATTAAGGCTCTTTAGAAAATATACGAAAGGATGGAATTTAAAATATGATACGAAATTGACTCTGATAAATGCATCAGCAAATTACGATGTAGATTATACCTTAAATCTGTAGCTTTTCCGAAAGATAAAAAGCAAACCTTCTCGGAAAAGGCTTGGCTTTTGAAGTCGGCTTATTATAGGTTTATTAAGACTCTTCAAAAATTCTACAATTAGATGGATTTGTATAAGTTTGTCTGAAATACTAAAATGCTATACTAAATGCATCAGCGAAGTACAAGATGGATCATGGATCTGTAGCCTTTCCGAAAGGTAAGAAAAGGAACCTGATATTCTCGAATAAGTTTCGGGACAGCAGAATCCTGGTTGTTACCATGAGGGAAGCCTCGTTTTTTTTTTTAGTCTTGTTAGTGGATCTGATGGTTTAGGCCAGAGCTCCCCAACCCGTAGGGAAAATTTCTACGACATGAAAAAGTTTTTGGAAGTATTAATGAAGTCTGTTTTTGCAATCCAACTTTTTGAGAAGACAATGGCAATTGAAATTATCTGATGAAAAATTAAAGTTGTCTTTTCTCCGGATAGCTCTTCAGACTTACCAAGCTATTTCAAGTTTTCAATCTAAGAAACCTTTCTTGAAGCCCAGCTTTTTTTGTGTGTGAAGGCATTCCACTAAATAGCTGCTTCATTGTTTCTTAACTTAATTTTTTCCAGAATATTTTTGTTCTGAGGAATGTATGGCAAGTATATTAAAATTTCCGCTGCTCGACAAAAACTATATGGAACGTTGTCGGTCCGCGGAAAATATTTTAAAATACAGTATGCCGGTCCGCAAAAGATTTTATTAAAATTTGCGATCCTGAAAAGGTTGGGGAACACTGGTTTAGGCAGTCATGTGTGTTGAGCATGCGAGTACTTTGTTATTTTCTTTAAAAAAAAAAAAACTGCAAGAGGAACACGAAGAGGGGGAAAAATTCTTCAAAATCCTTTAAATTTTTTCTTCATCCTATTCGCGGAATTTATTTTGCGTGAAAGTCTCGCCATGCTCCTTCGCCGCACCATAATCGTTGAGTCTCGCAGAACACTTTTTTTTTGTTTTTCCTCGGTTGTCTATTGCCTGTGGCTGGGGTTTTTTGGCCCATTGTTTCCAGCGACGTAGGGCGAATTGGTGCGGTTGATTTTTTATACTTTTGGGCGCCGAGTTGAATGACTTGTTGCTGCGTCACAGCCTCGTGGGGGCGCCCGTCAAGCCATCGTTGCTCTCGCTGGATGGCTAATCATGTGCTCTTATGTGCATTATCATTTAGTTCTCTCGTCTCGGTATATTTATGTACGGTATATATTTATATTTTTAGGGCAGGTCGTTCGACTTGGTGATGTTTGTTATTCAAAGAAAACGAGGGGAAAAGCGCGGGTGTTTTGGCAGGCTATTTTTTTTAATGTCGGGGGTTTTATTTCTTGCTTTTGCGACCTTGGGAGGAAGTATTCTTTATTATGCCGTGAGGCGTTTTCAATGACTGAACTGTCTGTCGAGCTTACGTTCTCAGTGGTCTTAACTTGCAGAGCCGCCCCCCCCCCTTTTTTTTTTTTTTTTCAAGCAATTTCAAAAGCGGAACCCCTGAAGAGTTGCGTCGGCATTAATAGTTGTTAATGTTCACTGGTACCTAAATCTTACAGGTAATTACTTCTGAGTTATGGACACAGCTGTCTTCGTAGATTACGCATGTTTAATGAATGTACAGTTTATCTCATTAATCTTTGCGCTATTTAATTTAATTTTTTCTCTTTTTTGCTGAGGGGCTCCGCGCAGTCTATTTATTGTGCAAATCCTGTGGATGACTGCTCAATCTTTTCGATCACTTGATGATACAAGGTAGGGGTCGTTCTCCGCTGTCTCGTGTCTCTGAAATGACAATTAATGAAAGAATAAAATTCAGTTTCAGAACATTTTTCTTTGAAAGATATTTCTTTGTCAAGAGAAATCATGCGATTGCTTCACCAGTGAAAATCGAAAATGCCATATTTTTGAGGCCGTGTGTAAGAGGCCTTCAAGTGTCAGATTCGGCGTCTTTCATATTTTCCACCGGCCGAATTTTACGCTTTATTAAAAATCAAGGGTAGCTCGCGGGTATTTTTGGAAGGAAGCTCTGTCGCAGACGATTATGCAAAATATATGATTGTTTTTCTTCTTTTTCTTGTCCAATTCCTGCAGCAGACGTGGAGGAATCATTCGGAAGTTGCTAGTTCGAAGCGAGTAATGCTGGACCATCTGTTCGCCGTTCTTCACTTCAGCAGCGAGGAAGAGGAGCGGAGAAGGCTGATGGGCACGACGGGTGCTGTGGCCCAAGGACGAGGTCGAGCACGCAAAAACACCGTCAATGCCTCTTCGGGCACTTTAACGCCTGGTACGAATAGCTAACATTTATCGCAAATTTTGAGTGGATGGTTGTTCAAATTTTTTGAGAAGATGTACTGTATTGTAATTTTTTTTTTACTAATCGAACCACAGCCGTCCGTGAGAAGAGAAATAGCAGTCGCTGCTCTTGTTAAATGTCCGGTAGGTGTCGCCTGAATCAATTCAAGAGAGAAAACAGCAGAATCAGTCCTCCGAAAGTGCCTCGATTCATTTGAGTCTAATTTAGCCTAGCCCTATGTAAACGACCGTGGAAAAACGTTTGAGAAGCGGTTCAACGGATAGGTCAGCACTACGCACTACAGTATTTTGGTACAGTACTATTTTCTTTGATTTAATGAAGTCTATGAGTCAGGATTGACCGAATCACTGTGGGACCAATATCGCAATTTAAGTCGAGCCACTGTCGATTTCCCGAAGATTTTCTTCAAACATAGTCCCGGCTTTGGAAAGTTTTTTGTGTGTGTGTTCACTATTTGGAATCCGAGGAAAAGCTGTACTGTACTTTCATTATGACGCTTCCAAAGAAACTTGAGAGATCCTTATTGAAACGTTCTTTTGTCACATCTGAAATATCCGTCGCTAAGAAGGTTCTTCGATGATCTCTCAATTTGAACTTCTCTTGACTGTGGCGGGTAATCCCAGTTTTCCATTGGGGGTGTAGTATTCTAATAATCTAATCCATTGAACTTTCGAATCGACGTCTCCTCTGCACTTCAACTTGAATGGGCAAATTTGTGGACATGGGTAATGAAATTAGCAAACGTCATTACTCCTCGATCTGTCCAATTAAGTAAAAAAGCCGGAGACTTACAATACTTTTGAACCAAACAACCAACCTTAGTACAATACAGCATCAATGAAAAAAAAAGGTATGAAATTCACGCGACACCTAGTTGATTAAAGTCAACTGTTTCACAGAATTTTTGAGTTGAAGCAAAGAAAAAATGTTATACCTTTTGGAATCGACTTATAGTATCTTCGTTCTTCAAAAGCCATTTGTTGCCGAATGCAGCAAAAAGATATGAATGTTGTTCCAACCAATGTCGTACTGCTTGTTGATTTCTCGTGTCTAATGTTAGCTTCGTTGTTATCCAATCAACTGTGCAGGAAAGCGTGTCTGTTTTAATCTCATTGTGCTTAAACATTTTTTTTTTATTCTCGAATGACCAGCTCGAGCCACGTCCCCGCTAAGCGTTGACCAGGGCAGCGAACAGAGTGGAGCGTTTAGCCCGTCGTTGTCGTCACCGCCTCCTACACCTCAGTCCATGGACGCCATTGCTGCCGATTCGAGAGATCTCTACACCTCGTCCAAGTCGTCCCTTCGTGGGAAGACGTTCGGTGCGCGGTCCGCGTCGAAAGACGAACACCTCCACTCTCCTGAGTCTTCCAGCGTGAGTACAAAAACAAGTCAATTACTTATATAACGCTGTACATACATGGTTTTTTTCTTTTCTTTTTCGAATGTTATTCGAAGCCAAAGTTTGTGACCTTCACTCTGAACCTAATCAGAGTTGAAGCATGGCGTGGATTTTTGAAATATTCTCTACTTCCTTAAAAAAAAAACGAGAACGTCGATTCTGATTTGATTTTTTTCCTGAAAAAATAAAATCGACGGGTAATGGATATACAATACTGTTATTTTTTAAATTTTGCAATGATCCGTGTTTTTCGGATGTGCATCGGGAAAAGTCTTATTTCCTTATGACGTTTCTAATTTCGATGCTTGTATTGCTTCCGCATGTCCTCGGTGGATTAAAAAAATCGAGCAGTACTACGAACGTCGAAAGTTCCCGATGTCGGAGTCGGAATTCGCCTCCGTGTTGCACCGAGAGGCGGAAGACGGCGGCGAGCATGGGAAGCGTGTTGTCGGCCAACGTGCGACGAAACCTCCGATCAAGGTGACCCGTTGTCCCTGTCCACGGGCCAACTGCCCGTCTTTTTTCAAAGTTCTCTCACGAATTATAGAACGGCAATTGTTTTTATTCTTTTATTTGCTACTATCTTTGAAAATATTGTTTGTAAAGGTCTACTGAATGAAGAAGATGGGAGACGTGATGCGAGGATTGGTTCAGATGGTTGACTACGTTTTTGTCTCTAGTTTTGGGTTGGAGAGAAGAATGTGATTTTGTCAGAGTGATAATTCAGCTGAGTTTTTTAATGTGTGGTCCAAAAGTCGCTCTACAGCTGGACTGATGAAGAAGTTGAATGTTGACTTGAAATCAACACAAATGATGTTTACTACAGTATTTAAATGGTTACCGATGACCGGCAATCGGAGATTTTTTTGTAGTGAAAGTACGAATGCCTTTCAACAAGTTGATAAACGGTACACTTCGAACCCCGTCTGGAAAGTGGTATAGTCGATTCGAATCTTCTAGAAAATTTTTGAAGCCTCCCCTTTTGTAACGAAAAGATGTGGTCAAATAAGTTCGGGGTCTAGTTGTTCTACTAAACCGTTCCATGAATTGTGAAAGTAACACGCTGAAAAAAAAA